GAAGGGGAGGGGAGGGAATGAGAATGTGAGAGAATATGTGTGTAGTTAACGTTTCCAAAGCTGGGGTCTACACAGACCCATTTCCTCCTCCCACTCCTCTGATAAAGTAGAGTGCCTGCTTTATCTTGGTTCTGTCTGGAACCTCTGCAGTTCTTAAATTTTAGTGTAGGGTTGAGGGAGATGGTGTGGCATTCTGATCCTTTGGAAGTCTTTCATTTTAATATTATTTCTTCCAAGAGGGTAGATGCTGTTTTAAATCTGTAATTTGCACGGACTCTATAAAAAAATCTTCTATAACATCGGCTTTGGAATTATCTAAACATATTCCACTTGCTGTATATAATACATTCATATCTTATATAAGAAGAGTATTAAATATATTTCACCTATGAGCAAAGGGGCAAGCAGCTTACTTTAAAACTTAATATATTCTTCGTTTAAAGCAGAGCTACCCAATAGAACTTTTTGCAATGATAGGAATGTTCTGTATCTACACTGTTCATTCAGTACAGTAGTCACCAGCCACTTGTGGCTATGAGACACTTTTAATGTGATTAGTGTCACTGAAAAATTGAATTTTAAATTTCATTTCATTTTAAGTAATTTAAGTAGCCACTCGCTGCCCCCACCCTCCACCCACCCCACAGCCCGCCCTGTATATTGGACAGTGCAGATTTAGAGAATCACAGCTTGGGGTTTGTTACTGCTACTGACATTTGGAAAGTGTTGGTGTGTCAAATAATTAGGAGCAATTATAGTAATATAAGAAGATAGGAGTATAAAATCAGGAACATTAGGAGCATTTAAAAATTGGAGTTTTTCTGTTTTCAATGTAATTGCTAAGTCAAAATTAAAGAGAGTTTTTCCATAGAGCACTGGAAGAAGGCACCCTCCTACACAACTTGAATGAATGGGAAGAGTTCTTCTGTTTTATCATGTTAAGGCCCCACTTGGAAGGGCTGTTGTTTGAAGGCAGCACAGGGGAGGACACTGGCCTGATGGGAGATGACGTCGTCCCAGAAGCCAAGGTCGGGGACCCAGTCGTGGTCAGGGAGTGGGCTCTTCTGGAAGGGAGAGGGTTAGGCGGGCTTGTGATGGCATTCACCTCTGTGAGAGTGGAAGACAGAAAACAGACAATGACTCCTTCTATACTTTCCCTCAGAAACCAAATAAAACCAAAGATGCTTCTGAATGTCTGAGCAAATCAGTTGATTCAGGCAATTTCTATACAAGAAGCATCAAATATTCTGAGGAATGGACTAATCTGGTGGGTTCTCAACCCTAGCTACACGTTAGAATCATCTGGGAGCTTAGCAAGTAAATAAATGTCCAGGTCTCAGCCAGACAGCATCTGAGTCAGTTGGGCAGGGGTAGATATTTTTTTAAAAGCTCTAATGTCCAGCCGGGGTTGAGAATTGCTAGTCTAATCCATCGAATTTTATCTTGCATAGCTCATCTTCCCTGTCAATAATGGCAAGTTAATGAATGAGAATTTTCTTCCAAGTACACCGTGCTTGCAAAAAAAACTCTTGGGTTCCATCATGTAGCTAAAAACAAAGGTAAGTATATTTAACGAGATAAAGAGTTTTGTTAAGAATGCCCACCATATTTAAGTCACAATGGAAAACGAAACGCATATTTTTTTTCCCATAAAAAAATAACCTCTGTTGTGAATACGCTCCTTTACCTGGTTCTTCTTGCTCATTCATGTCTTGAGGGTCAGACCCGCTCCGGCTCCGACACTCTTTTTGTATTTTGGCCTTTCGGGTGGCCATCTCGTCATCGGTGGCCTCGCCACTTTCACCCTGGGAACACAAAACTCACAGTTTCTCATTCTGCATTTCTCTCTCATCACTGCTTTAGTTCGGGCAGGTCCCTATTTTCTGACTGACTCCTTCAATGCTGCTTTCCCTTGGTGAAGCCAGTAAAAACCCATGCGAAGGCTGACCAAGTATTCTCATGTAATATTATCCCATTTGTTCTTCACTATAGAGCAGCACTCCTCAGGGGAGGGGGCTGACAAGAGGAGGCGGACATCTGACGCCTGGAAGCTCCGCGTAGAGACAGAATTATAAAGCAGATAAAGTTCACCTTCGGCATCAGCAGCCTCCCGAATGCAAAGAGTGAGGCTTTTTCCAGATAACCGTGGAGAAAATATATTATCATGTTATAGTGATAATATAAATAATGGAATATATAAAATATAGTTTCTTTTCTAAAGTTTGTAGCAGAGGATAGTTTTATTAGAGCAGAAAATTACAGCTCTCGAAATGAGAGGGGGTCCCAATTGGGATGCCCCTAACATATAGTTTTATATATATATATATTTATTGTGATAAAAAAAAACCTACGAAAATGTGCCATCGTCACCGTTTTTAAGTGTGAAGTAGAGTAGTGATAACTTCATGTACCTTGTTCTGCAACAGGTCTCTAGACAAAACCTTGTAAAACAAAAACTCTATACCCATTGAACAACTCTCTTTTTCCCCTGCCCCCCAGGCCCTGACAACTGCCATTCTACTTTCTGTTTCTAAGAGCTTGACCACTCTAGTTACTTCATATAAGTGAAATCACGCAGGATTTATCTTTTTGTGTCTGGTTTCTTTCACTTACGATAAGGTTCATGCACATTGTAGCATATAACAGGATTTCCTCCTTTTTTAAGGTTGAGTAATATTCCATTGATATAACACCTTTTTTTTTTATTAATCCTTCATCCGTGGATGGATATTTAAGCTGCTTCTAGTGGTAGTATATTATATTGTATTCTACATCTAGCATTTTGGCCCTGTATGGACCTTGAATTTTTCCTGGAGTTGACTCAGTTCCTAGCACTGAACTTGGTAAGGCTTCTATTTAATTTTTTTTTATATCTCATCTTGTCCTCAACCCAAATGACCTAAGGTTATGTATGTTAATGTAGACCATACAGTGGTCCCAGATGATTGGGTCTGATGCTTAATAAACAAGTAGCACTCTACCCTCATAAGGATTTTCTTCTTTTTCTTGGTGGTGCTTATTCCCAAGGTGTTGTTCCTCTGCACGCTGGGCTTCTCAGCACTCTTTGCTGATGTCCCAGGGCTGGGGTTTCGAGTACTCCATCGTCTGCCCCCAAACAACTCCACAGCATGAGCCAAAGTTGGGCCTTCATACCGTCCATCCTCCTGTAAAAGAACCACATGCTGAACACACAAGGGAACAGCAAGGAATGGGAAAGTAAATACATTAATGGCTTCCAATAAATCCCCAGAGGTGGAAAAGCACAGGCAGCTACAGAAAATAATTGTTTGGCCACCCAAGTAGCCCTCTTTTCTAACTGTCAGGACTCTCTGATGGGGATTTCATCATGTCCTCTCACATTCTGGTCACATCCCTGCTGAGTTCCAGGGATGTGCTTTGATATGGCCATGTTCAACTAGGATTTCCAAAACAAAATTTCCCTTCCCAGTTTCAGAGATTATGTTCCAGAATTACCACTGCAGAAAAAAAATCATTAAGACATACTTTGCAAATTAGGGCTTTGGAGAACTTGGGTCAGGTGTGTGTGTGTTGTGTGTGTGTGTGTGTGTTGTGTGTGTGTGTTTTGTGTGTGTGTGTGTGTGTGTGTGTGTGTGTATACCTATTTAAGTAAATCAAGTTCTATTTGTTATTGCATTACTCTAGGTGTTTTTTCACCCAGTTTGATGGTTGGGACAGTCTGACATGAAATATAGGGTATGTAGCATACATGAAATTCACTTTGGAGGGCTCTGGGGAGTACCTCAAATAGTTGGACTGCTGTGCTCTTGAGCGACTGATATCCAAGGACAGAGAGCCCAGGGGACTGAGAACACCATGCATATTTATGAAGCTGTGAGCAGCGAACACATGCTCAACGGGAGGGCAGTGGTTTATAGGAGCTGCTTCTCATGAGGCAGCTCCATGTAACATGCCCTGAATAGCAGCAGGAATTTAGGTAACTATTGAATTAAATATTAATTGTTTAAGTAGCAACGGTCAACAATTCTCCCTATAAGTCAGGAAAGCCAGTTAATAAAACCACAAAAAGTCACATATGAATTAAAGACAATATTGATATTTCATAGGCTGAATAAAAGGACTGACTCTTTTAAAATGAATTTCTATTTACTGTCTTTACTTTCTGCAAACTTTTAAGGCTAGCCCTCCTTTACAGTTCCAAAAGTGCCTGTAAATAGATTTTTCTTTGTTGTAGATCATATGCAAATAATAAAGAGGCTTTGTGTGCGTGTCTGCTTGCTCCTTCATCCTAATGTGCAATGACTATCTGATTTTATGAACTTGAGTGTGACCTCCCACTTCCTGCTCCTGTTATGGATCCCGGGATGCTGAGCAACTTGGATACTTGATGTGGGAAACCTTTTGGTGACTCTTACAGTGATATCTGTGATTTATGTCTGTCTATTAATCATTTCTCTTTTCTCTAACTATATCCCAATTTTACTTCATCTCTTTTCCACTGGTTATAGTCTTGGGTCTATCAATCAAGGTAGAACATTCCTTGTCCAATGGTTGGCACAAGTTCTAAATAAGCCAATCAGAATCTCCCTCTCTGGAAGATGAATCTTGAATGCAATGATACAGAGAAGGAAAATGGTTGGAGATCATTCTGCTTGATGCACGCCTGGTGAAGAGGGTCCCTGCTAACAAGTCACTGCAACTGACTCCACAGTGGAATAAACGTTTCATGACACAATTTCATAAATAGGTTTTAACCACCTTATTGAATCTGAAAGAAATTTTGTAAAAAAATTATCTATGGGTTTTAACACATCTTTAAATATTTAATAACCCCTTCATTAAAATTTAAAACTTCTGCTCTGCAAAAGACACTATCAAGAGAATTAGAAGACACATCACAGGCTGAGAGAAAATATTCGCAAAAGAAACATCTGATAAAGGACTGTTATCCAAAATATACAAAGAGATCTTAAAACTCAACAATAAGAAAACAAATAGCCCAACTTAAAAAATGGGCCAAAGACCTTAACAGACACTTCAGAAAAGAAGATGTACAGATGGCAAACAAATACCACACCGAGAGTGATCTCTAAGGTAAACTTGGACTTTGGGGGATGGTGATGTGTCGATGTAGGCTCATCCTTTGTAAAAAATGTACCATTCTGGTGAGTGATCCTGATAATGGGAAGCCTATGCATGTGTGGAAGCAGGGGTTTGTGGGAAATCTCTGTCCCGTCCTCTCAATTGTATTGCCAACCTAAAACTGTTCTAAAAAATAAAACCTTTAATAAAAAACTTTTAATAGGCTCATTACTGTGTACATATAAAAGAATCAGTCTCTATTGCTTTGGTTTTTCTAAATTCAGAACTTCCCAACATGGGCCAAGCTTTACTCTTAAGGAAAACATGTTAGGCCAGAAAAAGGCAGGATGCCTTTGTTTAATCTTTAAAGGAGACTTTCTGGTAACTAAAATGTAGTTTGAATTTTTCTTTCGTTTTATACAAAACAATAAACTTGTTTGGAATGGGTAAAGGATGTACCTTCTATTTTTAATTTGGGAGGAGGACTATTATGAGTGAAGGCATATTCTCAGTTTTTGAAAAAAGTTCACATGGAAGTTGAGGATTAGGAAATTGTTTCCTTAAAACATATTCATGCACTTTTACCTCTTGGCATATCTTTGTATATGATCCCTTGAAGGCTGTTAAACTAATCTAATCCTTTGAATAAATCCTTTTTTTCCCTTGAAGATAGCCAGAATCTGTTTCTGTTGCTTACAACCAAAGTTTACCTGATAATCCTGTATTTAACTTTCTCAGCTTCCCAGAGATCTTTCCAAATACCGAGGGTTATGCGTTCTCAGTTCTGCCCATGATAACCTTGAGCCAAAGCTTATGATACTAGTCTTTCCTCCACACCCCACATCATATCTCTGCACAGTTTACTTTCTTTTACTTTCCTGTAGTCCTAGACTTCATTACAAATGTCACTATTTCTTCTTGTCTTCTGCTTTGTATCCTGTTACTATTTCCATTAGACCAATTTACATTTACCAGTACTAAAAATACTTGTAATTTGTAAGTAACTTCACGTACATTCATCACCTAAGGGAATTCTGATGTCAGAAAGATTTTCTATATAAGTTCTTCCCAAATTGAGGATAAAGAAACACTCTTGTAGGGCTGTTAGCAGAAGTTTGGAAGAACCCAAGACTTCATAAATTTCTTTAACTTATAGGTACATTTAAACAGGTTTCTTTTGTACTTTAGGACTTCTCAGAGCCTTAAATAAGCTAAGCCTCATTATAAGTCACCAAGAGCGGCATTCGGCATGATGCCTGTTTGACCTTTTGTTCTCCAAGTACCAAATTAGCATCTTTTTGATGTTCTGAGACAGTTTGGGAACTGGGCTATATGACTGGAAAATGATCAGTTCATTGACCTTTTTCACTTTTTACAAAAAAAAGAAAAAAAAAAAGAAAAAAGATAAGAAATCTTGAAAGTCTGTTTCTAAGACATGTTGCCTGTCTTCCTGGGCAGCTCATGCAGAACAATGTTTTGAGGAAGAACATCAGCAATGTTTTCAGCAGTGACCGAGGTATATGGAGCTGTGCTGCCTTTACACTGTAACCACTTGGTTTCATGCAGGGGTGGAGGGATGGGAGGCTGGGGGGAAAGGAGGGGTGTAACTCTGTTTGCAGCTGGGTAGGACTGAGTCGGCTCCAGGTCACTTCCTGTGTCTTTGCTCCAGCAGCACCTCTTACCTCTTCTCATCTGCTGTTCGTGGACTCAGCTGGTGGCTCCTTCAGCAAAAACTGAAGGTTGACAGGGGAAATGAGAAACGATGTATACTTTATGGGTTAATTCAGGTACTTTATGCCATAAGCTTGAGAAGGAAACAAATGGAGCCAATAAATCACATAGGCTTTGTGACAGTGGTTGTCATTGAGCTCAAAGACTTTGGTTAATGGCCAGGTTGAATGGATTTTCATGATTCTAGTAGGCTGGGGAATGACTGTAATTAAAAATCATTGTAGTCATAGTAGCTCCCAGAGACCTTTCTTCGAAGAAGCTGACTACATTGAAAGCTCCCTCTGCGGGAGACAGGAAGCAGGTATTTTGGTTCCATTTTAGATGAATTAACTAAAGCTGGCTTCGGGCTGTGTGACATTAGCCAAATGGTGTATATAGGCCTGTGTACTTCTTAATGAATCAAGTTAGTTGTAGGATATGATCTCTACTCATACAAATTGCATACACATGGGGAAAAGGGAAAGAAAGCATTTTATGTACCTCTACTAACACCCCAGGCGGGAAAATTGTTTTTACTTGTCAGAAACCTGTGAGAACTGTGAAATGTATATGAAGTCAGTCATTTTAGTAATTTATAGTTCCATTTGTGCGGTGACACGAGTAAAAAAAGATAATTTTGTTTTTTCCCTCATAGAAAGAAAAGCATACAAAAGAGGAACTGAATACTTTGATACAACTTATGTGACAATGCTATCAACAGTGTCACCTTGTGGCGGGGTTTATGACTCAATTGCCAAGCCATCTCTGCCCTCCTGCTTCCACAAGCTACTCTGGTCTGTCTCTTCTCACCACCTCATTCAGCCCAGTCCTGCTGCCACCCTTAGCTGGGATGTTACAGTACCTGATAATTTAGGGTTAATGAGAAACTCAGTGTAAGCAGCCAACTGTGAGAATCTGCCTCCTATGGGCTGCTGCCACTACAAACCCGGCGAGGAAGAAGCCCATGTATGTTAGCCCACATTTGGGAAAGTTTCTTTTAACCTTAGAAGTTCTAACGTTAGGCAGCAATACACAGTCAGTTAAAGAACTCTCTAAGAGCCACGTAGCATATTAGGTGATGAAGCAGGATTTCTCTTCCCAAAGTGAAGGTTTCCAATGTATCAGTTAGTGCTTAATTAATAATAAAAGCATTCAGGTTATAGTGCTTTCAGTGGAAACTTTGAGTATGTGAAAATGCTTGTATTAACTGGCTTCTTTCCAGATGTGAGACGTACAATGAACACAACCACTATTTTCATACAAAATAATAATAGGACCTACTATGAGCCACTATCCTTTCCTCTTCTTCCTCCTCCTCCTCCTCTACTTCTCCTTCTCCTCCTCCTTTCATTTGTCTCCTTTTTTTTAGTTCGTTTGAGCCACTATCGTTTACACATATGAATTTACATTATGGCTTCACACATATTAACTCAATTAAACTTCACAGCCACCCTATGAATAGGTATTGTTCTTATTCTCATTTTATAGATAAGAAACTGAGGACAGAGGGGTTAAATAAAAGCTTCCCACTGTCAATCAGGTAGAAAGTGACAGAGCTGGGAGAATGAACCCTGGTGGTCCAGTTGCCAAGTGTGCTTTTACAAGATTTGTATCTTGAGAATTATGCTACTAAGGAGAGAGGGAAGATTGCACCCCTTACCTGATAGAGGCTGACATATTGTTTCCGCAGCCACTGCTGTCTTTGGTCAGGGAACTTCCTCATCTTTCTCACAGCTCTGGTGAGTTCTAGCAATCCGCTGAAGAGCATTTTAGCTGTGTGCTTTGGTGCCACAAAGTGCAATAATCTGTTGTCCGTGGTCTGCAGCCCATGGAGCAGTGTCACACCCGTCTCTGACAGAACCATGCTACTCAGTTTGTTCTGAACACACACAGTGTGTATATCAATGTTAGGATGTCCCATGTACACAGCTTTAGCTGAAAACAAATCCAAGACCCCTTCGGCCAGGCCACTCAATCCAGCATTGCCCAGTGACGGGAATTTGCCAGGCTCGGAGGTGTTGCTAAGCACACCCAGTTTTGCTTTAGCTGGGGAGGCAGTGGTGGGCTTTGCCCAGGTCAAGGTGCTATTGTCAGGCTGAAGCTGGAGGAAGCAGCGGGCAGAGAGGTGTGTGTCCTGGTCATAGTGGATGACGGTGGCCCCCTGCAGCAGGAACTGGTGCACGTCAGCTCGGATGGACAGGACGTACCACGGGATGAGCTCTGTCCCGTGGTCAAAGGCCTTCTGTGGCTCTTCTAATCCATGAGGGTCCCATTCTTTGGGCTGCTCAAAGATGTCGTTTTCGGAATCCAACAGATCTCCAATGATAAACCTGTTGGAAAGGCATACAAATTTTATCTGTTTTATAATCAGAAATGAGAACAATACAAAGCCTTTCACTGACACTGGACATCACTTTTCATTCCACTATGAATTTAAATTAGCATAGCAAATATAAAATGCTAAAAGTTATAGAGTAATTTTTATAGCTGTATTCTAAAACCTTATATTTAGCAATATGTCTCACCCTGTAGGCATAAGAAAGAAACTACTAGATCAGCTATTTTATTTTTAATATCAACAACAATAATTTTCATTTGTATTCGTTTTTCCTCTTATATCAGGAACTGTGTTAAATACTTTACATACATTTTTGCACTTAATTCAACCTACTTGCAAAGTAAGTTTTCTTAGTCTCCTTCTTTTTTTAACCTAGGAGGATACCTGAGGTTCAGAAGGGGGATGTAACTCGCTCCTCCAGGTTACCCAGGTCCGAAGAGGCCTACCCCAGGCAGGATTCTGGTCTGGCTGACTCTTTAGCCTAGGATCTTCATCACTATCTTTGTTTGCCTTCTAGTTAATCATTAACAAAAGTCATGGCCTGAATATAATGGGTCTAAAATAGGCAAAACAAGACTTAATAAGCTGGCCTGAGAAGAGCCTCTGCTAAAAATAAGATATGATTGGGCCGGCCGTGTGGCGCGTTGGTTAAGAGTTGGCTTGGGAGTGCCGGCTCTGAGCAGCAGGGCGTGGTTGGATCCCACGTGAGGGCCAGTGACGCTGCGCCCTCTACAGCTAAGATGGTGAACAACAGCTCGACCTGGAGCTGGGCTACCGTGAGTCGCCGGCGACAGCGTAGGCTGCAGTGGGGCTAGCTGGCATCTGGCATGTGCTTTCGTGAGCTGCCGTGAGTGGCAGTCGAGTGGCCGGTGACCAATCTGCGTCACCCGGGAAGAGCGCAATGATAATACCAACATGGACCAGTGAAGCGAGGTCCTCCACAACTAGACTGAAGAACAAAAGGACAGCAACTTGTCTGTTCCCCTTCCCCGATTCCCCAATGCTGTTCCCCTCCCCCAATTCCCCAATAAAATCTTTAAATAAAAAAAATATGATTAGTTCAAAGACACTTACTGGGAAACACAGTCATGGCAGCCAGGGGAGCAAAACCAGCTCTCCTTAACTAGACCTGAGATATCCATTGGGAGTGTGTGTATGAGTGTGTGCACACAAAGAAGGCTTGGAAAATTTACCACGTTGCCTTCCCTGAGTCAGGAATCTGTATTATTAGGGTGAGAAGAATCTGGGGGGAAGGCAAAGGAGACTTAATCCCCCCTTTCTATCTGGCCACCTTGGTAGGAACGTGTCTAATTGAGACTCATTCTCTTCAAAGCACGAGGAATTGTTAGTAAGATGAAGGTTTCTGCTGTTTGATCCATCGACATTATTTAGCAAAATGGTGAATAAAACTGAGAAGCTAGTCCATACACCTCTGGGAAGGAATGTTCCCATTGTCTTGAGGCACTTGGGCAGCCTTCTGCCTCTTGGCAAGCCATGAGCAGCAGCACTGGGCATCTAGGACTCTCAGTTTAGATCCTGGTCCCTGAGCAAGATCCCACTCCTGTTTTCAAACAGCAGGCTCTTCCTCCTTGCCTCACATAAAGACAATAGATATCCTTAAAAAAGAAAAGAACCCTATAGGAGATCTCACAAACCTGATGGTCAGAATATCCTTTTCAGATAACCCACGCTGGAAGCACTGTTAACAATTCAAATATCCAGCAACAATAAAACGTATAAATAAAATGTGATGTATTCATACAGTGTAATTCTGCAAAGCAATGAAAATGAACACCCAATAGCTAACTATATGCAACAACAGGGACAAATATTAAGCAAGACACACAAGAATACACACTGTATGATGACATTTATGTAAATGTAAATTTCAAAACCAGGCAAAACTATACTATATTATGTATAAATAAATTATAGTGGTAAAATTATCAAGAAAAGCAGGATGTATTACTGTAAAATTCACAGTAGTGACTTTTTCTCTAGGGACAAAGGTAGTGACATAATTGAGAAAGGTTCTGGCAATGTTTTCACTCTGGGTAGTCATTATGCACACATTCACTTGATAATTATTCAAATACATTAGTTTTTTAAAAACTTTAATTTTAGAATAGTTTTAGATTTGTAGAGAAATTGCAAAGAGTATAGCCCACATCCAGTTTTCACAATTATTAATATTAACATCTTACAATAGGATGGCATATTTGATACAGTTCATAAACCAACACTGATACATTATCATTAATGAAAGTCAATACTCTATTTAGATTACCTTATTATTATTATTATTGTTATTATTATTATTATTTACCTATGTCCTTTTTCTGTTTGAGGGTCCCATCCAGGATACCAGATTACATTTAGTTGTCATGTTTCTTCAGGCTACTCTTAGATACGATGGTTTCTCAGACTTGGCCTGTTTTTGAGATCCTGTCAGTTTGCAGGTGCACTGGTCAAGTATTTTGGAGAATGTCCCTTATGAGAATTTGCCTGATATTTTTCTCATAATTAGACTTGGGTTTTGGGCTCTGGGCAGGAACACCACAGAGGTAGAGTGCCAGTGTCATCATATCATCTCCAGGGAACATACCATCAACATGACACATCCCTGTTGATGTTGGTGGGGCTGAGGTCGTGTTGGTCATGCTGTAAAGTTACTCTTTTTTTTTTTTTTTGACTCTTTTCTATACTGTCCTCTTTGGAAGGAAGTCATTATGTGCAGCCCACATTTAAGGAGTAAGAAGTTATGCTCTACCTCCCAGAGGGTGGAGTATTTAATAACTTATTTTTTCTGCATGAGAGATTTATTTCTTCTCCCCCATTTATTTGTTTATCATTTATGTATATGAACTCATGGATATTTATTTAATAGTTTGGGTTACAATCTAATGCTATGTTATTTTATTTCTCAATTGTTCCAGCATTGGCCATTGGGAGCTTTTTCAGTTGGCTTTTGTGTTCTATTGACATAGCCCCATTATCGTTTTTTTTTCTTTTTTTTTTTTGCACTTCTTTACTTTCTGGCACAAGATGCGCCACACTTGTTTTATGTATTTCCTGCCCCAGTCCTAGAATCAGCCATTTCTCCAAGGAGCTTTGATTTCTTTCATTGAAGAATGTTATTAGACATCAAGATCTGGTTGCTAGGTACAAAAATACGTTCTATTTTATACACTTAATGTCACATTCCAACATTAAAAGTGAAGCAAGACAAAAAATCCTTTGTGTCTAACTTAGCTCCATCCCTCTGAAATTGCTCTCAGTAACAACGGAAAACCAGTACGATGTCCTCTTAAATAATACTTATGTCTGTGCTTCAAACATATGACGTGGTGATTAAGAACATGGCTTTGGAGTTGCCCTGGGCTTCATGTTCTGCTCCGCCACCTATTAGCTGTATCACCATGTCAAATCCCTTAACTTCTCTGAGCCTCACTTATCTGTCAATGGCAAAAAGACAAAGCCCATTTCACAAAGTAATGGTGAAGCTCAAACAAGATAATACTTGTGAAGCACTCAGCACAGCATCTGGCTCTGTGAAGTACACCTCTATGATTAAATATAGGAAGACTGAGATTTCACCCCTCCCTCTTCTCCTTCCCCACTTCCTCTTCCCGAGGCTAAATCAGCCCAGCTGTTTGTCTAGAGGGGCTTTCTTTAAGGGCCACATCCAAGCTCTTTAATCTTTTTTTTTTTCCCCTATCTCTGGAACCGTTTCCACATTCTCCATGTCTTACCTCTGTTTAGAACAAAAAGGATTCAAATGGCGAGTGTCAGTACCCATGAAATTCAACATGTGTTAATCTGGACCTAGAACTTCTGATTTTAATTTAGCAAGAGAAATGGTGTTTCCCATATTCTTTAATTTGAGTGCACAGCTAAATCAAGTATTTTCCAGTGAAAAACTACAAGCATTATAAAAAAACAGTGTCTGGAAAGGAAAATTATGAGGCTTTTCTGAAGCCTGTGTCTGCTGCTCAGAGATGATGTAAACTGGGAGAGAGCAGACGCTCTCTTTCTTAACATGGGTTTCTATTTAAGGACACAAAAAGAACAAATGCTCAGTGTTAATAATTCCATTAAAAAGCATTCTCCCAGGAACAAATGCCCAAGATAAAATTGGCAATTGCTTGTAATGAAATAAGTTCCTTTCAAGAAGGAAACTGGTAGCTGTGTCTCTTAGATCATATAATGAATTTTATGCACTTCTGTGCACGATTCTCTCAGCAAACAAGTTTCTGTGGGTTTACAAGAAGGAATAAGGTGGAGCTTAAAGGGTTATTTAGAAAGCAAATCACATTAACCAAAGGTCAAAGATGTAGTTTCCCAGCAAAGAAACTTGTCAAACTTAAGCCACACGTCTTCAGGAGAGGACCAAGGAGTGAAAGAAGGAGAGTTTACATCAGACCATAGACAGGGTTCGGTAGCACCCTTCAGTGAGAAACTGTAAAGTGACAGAGAAACATTCTTCTAATGTTCTCTGATGAAAATCTTATATTAGGGGACAAGTGGGCTATTTATCAACCTGGTTATGTATTTTCTTAATAACAGTTCATTACTTCCTACAATGTTAATATGATTACATGAACGTGATTCGTCAAGTGATAAGCCTAAATTTAATTTTGTATGATAGAAGAAAATGTACACCTTTTCTGAAAGACTGGCTATAGCTGTTCCCTGTAATGAAATACAGAATTTTAAGGTTGTTTTTGGCGAATTCTTGCTTTTAATTAACCTAGCACTTTCCTCAACTACTGGCAGCTTCTAAGTAATATCTGGGTAATATCTGTAATATCTAGTATTAACTAATATCTGTGTGGACTTCGGAGCCAGCCTGCCCGAGGTTAAATCCTGGTCCTGCTAGGTAGTGTTTGTTTAAAAGTAGGCTCTCAATAATAATAGCATGTTAAATATTACTAATATTATTATTGTCTGGATTGTATTTACAAAGTTGGTACGGGGCTCTGGGTCAAGAATGGATTCCCAGGTCCTGGCAGATGGTCCTGGAGCCAGTGCCTGCTGATCTGGCTTCAGAGAACTCTGTTAAACACCCCCACTCCACTGTGTGTGCAGTGCTTCATTTCAGGGCAGCAGTCACTTGGGGTCAGAAAACTATTACTGGTACTGAGACACATAGGTTTCTTTTTCTTTTCCTTTTTTTTTTATTGGGGAATAGGGGAAAGGGGAACAGACAAGTTGATGTCCTTTTGTTCTTCAGTCTAGTTGTGGAGGACGTTGCTTCACTGGCCCAAGTTGGCACCATCATTGCGCTCTTCCCGGGCGAGACAGATCCGACGCCGGCTTCTGGACTGCCACTCATAGCGGCTGCTTGCCGCTCACGCTGGCTGCTGCCACTCATGCTGGCTGCCGGGCACACACGGTAGCTTATGGCAACCCACTGCAGCAGGGGCTACAGCCTACGCCGTCGCCGGCGACTCACAGCAGCTCAGCTCCAGGTTGAGCTGTTGTTCAGCATCTTAGCTGTAGAGGGCAGTGTCACTGGCCCTCATATATGGGATCCGAACCTGGGCCCTCTGGCGTCCCAAGCCAGCTCTTAACCAACGCGCCACTCGGCCGGCCCTGAGGCACATAGGTTTCAATGTGAAGATTTCAATATGGCTTCGCAGGTTTTGTAAAATAAATATTTGCATTTTTGTGCTTTTGTTTCCCTTCTAAGAGTGCTTAGAAGCAGGGTTTGGAAAAATAGGAAATGGAAGAGAAATGTTCTTAGGATGTAGATGATAAAACAGGAAGGAGACAGGGAATAAGCAGCAAATTGGAAATAAAACTTTTATGAGAGGTGATAGGATGAGGTAAGAAATTTATCACTTGAACTCCCAGCGAAAGGAAAGGATGGTAAAGAGAAATCTCTGAAGCTCAATCAAAGGCAGCATTCCTAAAAGTATTTTAGAAAGGTTGACACCTTTAATTAACATTCCCCGCCGTCCCCAACAGCCCCGGGTGAAGATTGTTATAAAAAAGAGCCACATGAAATTCATTATTTTATCTATTCAGGGATGAGATATCCCTTATAGTAGCATTTAAGGAAGATATTTTGGCAAGATCTCAGTATAAAGAAAAGGTTTATCCCAAACATCTGCTTGATTTTTCTTACAAATATTGTGAAACTTGTAATAAATTATGATTCCCTTTTTCCTTTGGCCACTAAGAATCTCAGAAGAAAATTTAGTGACTGTAAAGGCTGTATAGTGTACACTTCTGTAGGTATTATTTTTTCCTAACCTCTTTTCCTTTTTCCTTAATATCTTCAATTATTTATATTTATTTTTATAAGCATCTACAAAACCTTTTGTGGAAGGAGGTATATATATACACAGATACCTATATATAAAGAGACAAGTAAATAGAGGTAGATATAGGTTAAGGACTTAATGGCTATGAGATGCTTCTTGTGCAGACATGTGCTTATTTGTACATGATCCTTTCTCTCTCTCTATAGCTATACTATATAATATACTAACACTATATGTACTATAATATATATGAGTTTGATACAATATTACAGTGAATGTTTAAATAAAAAAAATGTATTACAGTAAAAGACACATTGCCTTTAGTCCCCAACAAAATATTCCCTCTCGCTTCAAACACACTTATCGCATCGTTTTTGCCACTTTCTGAAGCAGTTCTGGAAGTCCTCTTTTGTGTCTTTAGTTGCACTGTCGTGGCTGCCTCAATGTCCTGAATTGATTCAAAAGGTTTTCCTTTCATGGTTATTTTGACTCTGGGAAAGAGCCAGAAATCGCATGGTGCCAGATCTGGTGAATACGGTGGATGAAGACACATCATAATGCTTTTATTTGACAAAAATTGCCATACCAGAAGTGATGTGTGACATGAAACATTGTCATGATGGACGATGAAACTATTTGCCCATTTCATGTTAATGTATTTTTCATGACCCATGATTTACGGCACACTTTAAACCACACCTTCTCTCAACTGTAGCTCACGTCCAACTGACTGCACCAGAGCAAGTTGAAACTTGTCACACACTGTTACTAAGGTTCGACACGCTGCTTCCTGTTTTGAAGATCCCTGCCTCTCCATTGGATGGCGCTCAGCAGCAGCATTTACTGTAATTTTTTATCACCCCTCATATACCAGGGATGCCAAAAAAGTGTAGACAAGTGGATACTTTGGTTAACGTTGCTCAAGCAGTAGTTCACCGTAATCAGAAGTGTCTGGACGCTGATGGTAACCCACTTTAAGCACCTCTTGTAATTGCAGAAGTCAAACGTGACTTGTATTCATCTTTTGTTATCGGTATATATTGAGTATTACAATTTTAACAGTTTTTTCCCTTTCTTAAAATGTGTATACATTTTTTGGCACCATGTGTGCATGTGTGTGTGTGTGTGTGTAATACTATATATACAATACTAATGTCAATAAAAGGTTGGTAAGAAAACTTTCAAATAGTCTTTGAACTGAGATAAACAAACAAAAGAATTGGTAAAGCTGCTTGTGAGACCTTTGAGCTTTAGGGCCTGGACACTGTGGTGAGGGCACTAACTGTTAATCTTTGAGCACCTGGGCTCTCTATGGGGAAAGAAGTGAGGAAGTGAGGTTTGGAAGAAAGCCCAAAGTCTTTGGAGGAATCTGTTATGTAGGTGTACCTCCTTAAAACATAATAGCATTAGGAATTCAGATACAAGGCATTCATTTCTGTGTTCGCCACCAATGCTAAGTATCTAGCACTACAATTCAAAGAAATTACTTTCCAAAGACACTGTCAGCCTTCCCAATGTAGCAACTCCCCCCCCCCTCCGACAATGGGGAAAGACTTTGCAAAACAAACACCAGTGTCTTACAAATGCATACATGTTTGTATAAGGACTCCAAGGTTATGACTCATGAGTATTGACTACAAATAAAATCTTTCATGGTAAAGATGCCAAAGCCAGTAGTTCTAATAGTTTTGGATGGCGCTAAAGGATTCCTCCAGCTGGGCCAGGCTCTGCCATTTGAGTGAGGCTTGACCACGAGTAAATGGACTTGAAGAGATGCAATGCATGCCGAAGACCACTGGTTTCTGAACTTCTCATTTGGCTGTGGGTAAGCACGTTTGACTAGACTGCAATGACTGCTGATAAACATCAACCGAAACATCTAAACAATTCCAAAGCTGAGAATGCCACCCCACAGAGCTGTTTCTGAAAGTGGGATCCCTGACTACCTGACTTAGAGGTTGAGAGGAGCTGCTAAAAATACTGATTTCTGAGCTGGTGAGTGGCGCATTGGTTAAGAGCTGGCTTGGAACGCCAGAGGACCCCAGTTCGGATCCCACATATGAGGGCCAGTGATACTGTCCTCTACAGCTAAGATGCTGAACAACAGCTCAACCTGCAGCTGGGCTGCCATGAGTCGCCGGCGACGGCAGGTGGGTTGCCATGGGCTACCGTGTGTAGCCAGCAGCCAGTGTGAGCGGCTAGCAGCTGCAGTGAGCGGCCGTCCAGAAGCCGGCGACTGATCTGCCTCGCCCGGGAAGAGCGCAATGATGGTGCCAACTTGGGCCAGTGAAGCAACGTCCTCCACAGCTAGACTGAAGAACAAAACGACAGTAACTTGTCTGTATCCTTTCTCCCAATTCCCCAATAAAAATCTTTAAACAAACAAACAAAAACTGAGTTCTGAGTATCAGTCTAGCCCTATTAAATCACTATATTTTATTAAAAAATATGTTACCACTCGTCCCTGTGCCCTACTCAGTGATCACGAAAAACCATTTTTATAGAAGCTTTGTAATAAATAAGAGCTCATGGTTTTAAACTGGAAATTTAATTGGTCGGGTTTTTAGAAATGGCAGAATAGCTCTAGTTTCTTTCAAAGAGATAACAGAAGGCAAGAGATTAAATTACGAGCAGTAATTTTAGGACAATGCAGCCAAATTAACAAGATACATTCTAATTCAGAATTGGTAAATTATGGAGATAAAGAAGCACAGCTTACTGATTAAAGGTGGTGGGTTTTTATTAGGTGTTTACCTGAAACCAAACTGGAGTAGGAAGAGGAAGCAATGAGCATCCCTCTTGTTAAAATGGAAAACTTACTGCCATCGAGATTTATCCTTCAAGGAGTTTTTCCTGGAGCTGTTCCCTTCACTGGGGCTGTCCTCCTCCTCCATCTCCAGGCTTCGACTGCAGCTCCTGATGATCTGAAAGATGCTGTTGACAGTGGACTCCTTCTCCGAATTCTTCAAGCCATTTTGTCCCACCCGTTGTAAGAAATTATCTTGTCCACTGTAGTCAGCTACAAACTACAGAAAAATATATCAAGATTTGTTATTGTGATTTCATATAATTCGTCCAAATAACCTACTTGGCTAGGGAAATGAAACCATAATAGTCATAAATAATGGCATTTGTGCCTATTTTATTGAGGGGGAAAAAAAAGCACCACCAGGAAAAACATTTCCTTTCACCACATGAAATATCAAAACTCGCTCCTGTTTCCACTAAGACAACTTTAGTCCCTCTAGGAATCAACACTCCACTTCGAATTGAAAATACAAAAAACAATATTATTCCAAGGTTCCCTAGGGAGAAGACTAGCCACTTTACAGAGGAAGGGCAGGATTATTTTATCCTAGTAGTGAGAATTGAGAAAACTATGAAAAAGTATACTATTCTATGAAACCAGATAAAATTACCGGGCCCAAGGAAAACATTGAGAAAAGGGGACATCTGTTTTATTTCCCTGATATCCAATGGTAACCCAGAGGCTTCCTGGTGGTGTTTGGCTCATATTGTTGGCATTTTTGATCAGGAAGTTTTTCCCATCAGAGGTAAGAACTGCAGCTGGGCCTTGAGATGTGGCATTCCCTCCTTCTGAGGCATGAGGGAACCGGTGCAGCGTGGGGGACTAGCTTTGAGCTTTCTCCTACATTTGTTGAACTTTTCCCCCCCCTTAAACAAGCCAGAGAGATGCAAGCCAGTCGTGCTGCCTGTACCCATCAGGGGCTCTCAAATCTCCCGGACAGCAGGCGATGCCTTTGTTCACAGGAGACACAGAAGAAAGAGGCTGAAGTTTTAGAAGAGTCTTTCCACTGCCACAAAGAAGGGGTGTATGTGAGAGTGTGGGAAAAATCCATGCTGGGAACTGCTACCTTGGTGAGACTGGCCCTGCATTTCCAGGTATGGGACTCCTCAAAATTCTCCATAAAAGTACCTCGATTTTAGTCCCTTCTTTCATTTCTAAACACCATATAGGGAGGTTTCTTTTATCTTTTTCCAGCTTCTCAATGCCCCTTCTCTCCAATGCCCAATGGCCTGAGGCAAAGCTCACAGTGGTTCTCTCCTCTCTGGAGGTCAGGAGCAAGAAGTGATAGGCCTGGGACAACTGAGGCAGCCATTATCAGGAGCCTGGAGCCTGTCTATAGATGAGGCCTCAGCTTCCCCCGGGTTCTCCCACCAAGGATGAAAGGGAGGCACTGGTGACTCCCCCACATTCTTTCTTCCACAGATTCAGGAAAGTTCATACTCTCACTTGACATCTCTTAACCCCTACATCCGGACATTCTCACCCAACAAGAGAGAAGAATACCTCATCAGCCTTTAAGAAAAAGAATCAGAAAACAACACACATTTCCACTTGGACTTACACATTGTTCCATTAAAGCCAACTTAACCACATTAAGCCCCAAACAGTGCTCGTTTGCGTTCTTTTCTCTGGCATTTTCAAGGACCTAATGGTTACCCAGCGCGACAATGACCACTGATAACCCTGACGGTGCCTCTCCAGGTCCTGAGGATTGTGAGAGCCCTTACCTCTAGAGTCTCTTCTTGGGAATTGTACCTCGGGCAAAGCTTCATGAGGCCGGAGGCTCCGTCGAGTACTTCACAGAGCTCCTTCAGAAAGACCCCGCAGAACGGAACCACCTTACAGCCGGGGATGTGCAGCGCCCGCGTTACCACCTTCTTGTACTCGCAGGAAGACTCGTGCTGAGCCATGGCATCCTTCAGGCTCCTCATGGTCTCCAGGTCAGACTGGTCCATAAACTGCCACATTTTTAAAACTTTTCTTGACCTAGTGCAAGCAAATAACATTGTTTTCAGACCGAAGGAGAAATAATACAGTGTACAATAAATAGCTTAAATTCCATACACATTCATTGTTTTTGCCTGTTTACTCTATGTTTTAATATTTAGTTAGGATCCCTATCTCCACCTACTTCCCCAAATGATGTGACTATTACTTTTATAAATTGAAACACAAAATTAAATATGGCTGATACAATCAAAAACAGATGTGGAAGGAGTTAATTTTGCAAGGCGGGCAGTGAACTTAGGTTTGAGCCTCTTTGGCAGCTATAGCCACAAGGGAAACCTACTGGGTAATACATAGTTTGTACAAATATTTATGGAGGGTTGCCTGCAGAAAACGTGGTCCATCGACTCCTCCTGATCTTTTGAATGTTATCCTTGGATCAGGCGAGTCCCTCAGTAAAACACATGAAGCCTGTTTGGGTCTCTTTTGTAGACTTGCTTTTACTGAATCCAACTTTGACAGTAAGACACTGGCCCATGCTAAGGGACATTATTTTGAAGTATTATTTGCATAACAGGATATTAAATGGGACTTTCCTATTTTGAAATCGCTGCTGAGAATAAGAGGTGACATTGTACCCCAGCTTTTAATAAGAGGTGCCAGGTTGTCACAAGGGGCACACAGACTCGTCTGCCCTCAGTGGTGTCTCACCAGAGGCACTGGATGTGAGCAGCCAGGTCGGGAACAGTTCTTTGGCGAGAGCTGTCAGAGCACTAGTATGTGCGAAGGAGGAAATCACCCCAAGCCCAGGGAGCTTGAAGGGGACTCCATGGAGAGGCAGGCCTATGTCCCGGGTAGTTTGTAGATCACATAGACTGGTATGGGACTGTTGCCTGGGAAAGTTTAAAGATGAGAGGCTGCTTGGAGCTGCCCAATGGCAGTGTGATGGAAGGTTCCAGCGGAAGTGTCTCGCATGTGCAGAGTCTGGGAGGGCAAAGCGCTGACTGTTTCCGGTGAGTCAGGAGTGGACACTGTGACAAGCAGTTGGACCTGAGCTATCTGGAAAGGCCTGCCTGCCTGCCAAATGAGGTGACTCTAGTGGGAAGAGTCTAGGAGGGCAGGACCTCCAGAGCTAGAGAGGGCACTTCTCTTGCCAGGTAATAGTGTAGTGGGAGGTACCTGGGTCAGGGGATGAAAGAGGTTAAAGGGAGTAACTAGGAAGAAACCTTAAAAGCACCCCACATGGCTCTCCGTGGGAGCATGTAGGCCATATTAAGACTGTCCCAGTCACAGAAGACTTTTGCCCCCTCAACCTCTGCTCCTTTCCCCTTTCTTTTCCTGCTCACTTTTTCTGCAGGGATCCTGAGTTGGAGGGAGAGGGAGAGAAAAGACAAACCATGTTTTCCCACCCCACTGCAGGTTTCTGAGACTGGTTGGGTTGAGGAATGTGGGAAAAGGTTGAAGCTTTAAATTGAACGTGGGGTTGCAATTTTGTTTTATATCAGACTGGATTAAAAATCATTATGTAATGCATAAGATATCCAAGACATATAAAACAATAGTCATATGGTTGAGGCCCCAGTGGATTTCTCCATGAGCACGTACATACTCCTCCGTCCTTGGCCAAAGGGGACCACAGTGATTGTGTTCCCTTACAATTCTTTATACTCTCCCAACACGTGTATATATCACTAAGCAGTTTGTAGAATTGCTTGTGTGTTTGTAAACGATATATAAGTGGTGTCACATTGTAGGTACTCTTAGGCAACCTGCTTTTTCTGCACAGCTGTAAGTTTCTGAGACTCATTCATGCTCATGAGTGTAGGAGAATGAGTCAGCTTATTAACCACAAGTAATTGGGAAAGCTACAGGCTCTCTTCCAAGGTATAATCCAGCGCCAAGGGAGGGAGGGCCAGTTAGGCAGGTTTGAAACACAGTGAAATCAGAAAAATAAAATTGTTTCCTGATTTCACCCCACTAAGTCCAGCTTGTCCTACAACTGGTTTCCTAAAAGCGGGTGAGAATCCTTTTTTTGGGTCATGAAAAGGAGGTATAAATAATACAAAGTGAATAAATGAATGAGACATGGTTCTCATTATTTAATCGTCCTTCTTTCCATGAGTAATGGAATAGTCATGGTACGTTTGGGGCCAAAAAACAAACCTCAGCAAAGATCAATGATTTTTCATTAGGTTGAGAATTGGCACTATTTTAAAACTTTTATTTCTTTTTATGGTTATAAATGCACTAAATACTCATTGCAGAAAATATGGAAAATACCAAAAAGACAGAAAATCCATCCACAGTTCTACCATCCACAGACAATATTAGATATATTTCCCTCCAGTATTTATTCTATTTGTGTCTATCTAGTATAAATATTTTATAAATTTTGTTGCATAAATATGCTGAGGTTATTAAGTATAGACAGATTTGTTCCCAGATGTTTTTATGCATTATGTGTTACTGATTTTCCAATGATATTAACAATTGTTTATAAACATCATTTTTGATGGCCAAATAATATTCTATTGTATGGATGTATCATATTATTTCCTTCATTTTTCTGTTATTGTTCATTTGGGTTATTTTAAATTGACACTATGATTAAGTAAATATCATTATAGTAAATCTTCATAGTTCTAATCATTTCCTTAAAACAGCTGAGAATTTAGTTTGAGGAAGAAAATATATAATGTCTATAGAAAACCAAAGTCATTTAACATAAGGTTGCTCCCCTTTTCCATCTAATTGCTTTAAAAAACACCTTTTGTTATCTTGATGTAGTTAAATTACTTATAATGTAAATATTTTCAAGCCTGAAAGTACACACATGAGCTCTGCCTCCACAATCATTCTAGCATAAGAACATCTAGCAACTTATCTCCTGTATACATTTTTCCAGCCAAACAGTAACTGAATCTGGTACTTTTACCCATTTTTTTTTTGTAAACATCAGTTTAGTTTTAAGCCAAATATAAGAGCATGAAACTAGGTGGCAGTTGGTCTGGGGTGTAAGACAGAACGCACAGGAATTAGTGGTGAGGTTTAGCTTGGTTTGAGGTTATTCCTTTAAGAGAGAGTCACCTGGCTCTATATGGCCATCTTGGATTTTGAAATCAAATTAAGTTGGGTCTGAAAGTCACATTCACCCAAGGCCTCCACGGGTCATTCTGAGGTCATTCTTGTGTCAAGAGAATCTCTAATAGATGGTTTGTGGCTGCTAGCCTACAAAATGGCCTCCAATGATACACACTTCCTGGTGCAGTGTAGTTTCCCCCACAATGAAACAGTGTCCTATGTGACCAGCACAAATGACAGAAGTGACAGTGTGTGACTTCTGAGGCTCGGACATAGAAGGCACTGCAGCTTCTGCTGTGCTCTTTTGGACCATTTACTCTGGAGGGAGCCAGCCTCCATGCTGTGAGGACAGTGACGTCCAGAAGAGAGGAAGCGAGGTACTCAGTCCACAGCCAGCACCAAGTTGCCAGTCAGCAGAGAAAGATAAGCATCAGTGAAACAGAACTATTTTATCACAATATGATCATTCTTTTAAAAAAAGTAATACAGATTTTTGTTGTTGTTGTTGTTTGTTTGTTTGTTTTTAATAGAAAATCTATCACAAAGAGAGCCAAATCATCTGGATATACATTTGTAAAACCATTTTAAATGCCAATGACAGGATCATTTGAGTTTATTCTTGGTTAAGAAAATTCAAAAAGACAAAAAAATTTCCAAATCTGAGAATTTTCTTCTCCTCCCCTAACCCTGAATCCCTATGTAGGGACCTGGGGAATCAAAGGAAAATCTCAATAATGTTATGAAGCAAGATCTATTTATATGAGGACCCTCACTGGGAAGGTGAATCTCAGACAACAATAACAGTTCTCTTTATGGAACCTTCCTATACATCAGATACACCTGCTAATAAACACTTTATATTATCTCACTAAATCCTATGTGAAACGGTAGGTGCTTGTTATTATTACCCCCATTTTACAGATGAAGAAACTGAGTCTCAATGAGGTCAAGTAACTTGCCCAGATCACATGGGGGAGCTAGGATTTGATTCCGTTATTCTGACTCTACAACTCACGTACTTCCTCACACCACACTGCCTCCCACAAGAGTGAGGGAGCAGTTACTTTATGCTGGGTTACTGAGGCTGAAAAAGAATAAGGCGGAAAGCTTTACTGACAGAATGGTGATCTTATTATTAGGCTTGATGGTGAAGGCATAAGAGTGGGATACCGCAGAGGTTAAGGGCATGGGCTCTGAAGTCAAGGCCGCCTGCATTCACATCCCAGGCATGCCAGGTGACCATGGGTGAACGACTTAACTTCCAACCAATTGCCTGGTTTGGGTAAATGTGGTTACCAGAGCAATTAATTCAGTGCCATTCCACTGGTAAGGGAAACTCTGCCCAGATAACCGTAGTCCCACGGCACATACCTGAGGCCGGCCAAGAACTCCATGACAGTGTTGTAGTTTCCCATGTTCCAGCAGCATTTGGCCACATGCACCAAGTACGAGAAGACTTCCCGCTTCTCCTCCATGGAGCCCGCCGTGAGGATCAGCCACGTCACCCAGGAGCTCACCTGGAAAACGCAGACAGAGGCACCCATTGAAACTATGTCCTGGAAGCCTGATAAATATTTTTTCTCAAGAAAACTGGTTTTCTTTTTTAGAGATCAGTTTAGTATTAGGAAATGAAGAACCCAGACAAGAGACAAAGGTGACACTAGTTCCATCACTGCTTTGCTATGGGATTCTGGGAAAGTCACTTAACCTCTCTGTGTTCATTTTCATCTTTAAAATAAGGAGGCCAAAAGGTAATTCATAAACTCCCTCTTGATCTATAAAATTCCATGAGACTATGAAAACTAAAGCCTAAAGGTAATATTGATTTAAATATATTTGACTGAGGGACAGTAAGATTAAATGCAATCAGTGCACTTAGCTCATAAATGAGACATTTATCAAATAGTAAAATACACATCAAATAAAAAATACACATTTTTGAACTCTCTTTTGCAAATGCATTATCGATTATGCTCCTCAAATGACTAAACAATAGAGAACAAATACTTGTACAGCACTTACCATGTGCCAGGAACTGTTCTAAGCACTTTACATATGTTAGCTCATTTCTCTCTCACAACAATCCTAAGAGTAAGGGACTATCATTATCCTCATTTTATGGGGGAGAAAACTGAGGGACAGAGGGCCTAAGAGACCTGCTCAAGGTCCCCAATCAAGAGATGGCAAAGCCAGAATGTGAACTCAGGTGTGTGCCCCAGAGGTGGCACCATTAACCACTCACTAAATGCCTACTGTGTATACATGAGCTCTAGTGTCCTCCAGCTCTGGGCTTAAATTTATTCTAATGTGATTTGCTTTTTCTACTATACAGACTCGAGTATCATGCTTAATAATAATCCAGTATTAACACTCCCTTTATGATGTGCAGCCTCGAAAACCTCTGCTTAATCTCTAAGATTATTTTGCTGCTCCCTATGCTTTGGAGCTTGGACACTCGTGTTCACTGAAGGGACTTCCTCCATCCAGGCTAATGTCTGGGCTGATAAGCTCAGCTGTTAACAAATCAAAGCTTAGGTCTTAACCGCACACGGCCCATTCGCTGCACTTGGTTCAGCAGCAGCGCTGAAACCTGCGGAGCAGCTCATTTGCCTGGCTGGAGTGAGAGCGGGGCCTGCGTGAACACAGAGTTCATGGTGACCCATGACAACTGTTAGAAAAAAGACTTCAACATCCATAGCATACTGCCGTGAAATGATAGGCATGAATGGCACTTAGTGCTGGCGGCGACCACAGAGGGCAGTCCAACCCCGTTTTCCAGATCAGGAATCCATGGCTCATGGGAGAAGTGAGTTTCTGAGGTCACAATTCTTACTGATGTCAAAACTAGAACTCCCAGTCCAATGTTCTTTCATCTGATGAAGGGTGACAGTTTCTTTAAACTTGGCATTGGTTAGGTCCTTCTAAGCACTCACTAAAAGCCAAATATTTGAGGACAGAGCTGGAATAGAAGAAGATACCAAGAAAAGCACCAAAAGATGGTTTAAGAAATGAAAAAAGCAGGCGAGACTGAGACCTGAACACCTCTTTCTTCTCCATACACAGAAATAAATAGGGAAATAGGAGCAATGGGGAGTTCTGATGATGACACAGGGTTATACTCTGGTATCAGTCAGAAGCACTGCGGCAATAATCTTCCCTTTGGAAATCGGCTGAAGCCAAAATGTGGTGGGCCACTGGCCACCCCAGGGCCCAGGGGCTCCGAGCATGTGCCTCTGCTCTCTGCTTGCCCTGGACTTCTCTGGGCCCTCGTACAACACCAGGAGAACAGACCTGGAATCAGACCCCAGGACGAGCCCTGGTGCAGATCATCCTGCAAGGAAGTCCATGCCATTTGGGGACCATTTGTTCCGGTCTCCTGGGACTGTGGAGCACACAGGATCCTTCTGGATTTGCAGAACCCGCCCCTCTCCTGCAGCTATAAACAAGCCCTTGCTCACGGTCTCCATGCCTTGTCACTTCATCTGGTGACCCAGTTAACAGTCACCTTTGTGAAACTCTGGCTCTCTAGAGCAAGAAATTATTTTGCTAACAGAGACTGAGCGTCCTTGGTGCTTCTGTCCAATTCTTTCTTTAGTGTGATTGGCTTTTGATGAGCTGTGGGAAATCACCAGCAAACACTTAGAATCATAAAATCATTGACTCTTTGAGCTAAAAATTCAAACCCTTGTCCTTACAAATAAAAATGAAACCTTGGAAAGTTAAAATGCTTCATCAAAGACACCCAATGCATTAGGTTTTTAGAGCTCTGGTTATATCTTTTTGTGGCTTTAGCTTTTATTTTTGTCGAAACTGATGGCAAATCAGTGTCTCTGGAAAGTCATGGTTCTTCCCGGCTGTTCTGGTACTGCACAGTGACTTATCAGTCCAGTGGCCTCAAAGGGTTAACGCATTTTCTCCTGGAGAAGCCAGCTCCACAGCGCAGGCGCAGACCACCACGTGGCTTGTGACTCAATCCTGATCTCATATCCAGATTTATTTCCTATCAGTCAAATAATTTTCCATATACTTTCCCACAATGCTAGGAAAAAAATAGCGATACTGTATTTCACATGGAAACCTAATTTAAACCAACTGTTCCATCTTGGAGTGTAAGTCCCTAGGGCCTGGTTGTTGAGATTATGTAAGCACTGATATCATAAACACTGCCCCCTCAACATCTGCTTACAGACTTCAGGGATAATTCTTATTGTGGCCTAATGTATTCATAATTTCACAGGCATTAATTGAGAATGTCATCACTAATTATGAAAAATAAATGACATAAAAAGGAAACAAGGATTATGGAGAAGACTATAAAATGTTGCCCAAAGCATAAACGGTGGTCACGTTTCTAAGTGGAAAATGTGATGTGTCACCAATCCAGAAAGATTTCCCGGACATTAACCACAAAGAAAACCACAAAACTCGTGTACGTGTGAAGCACTACAACTCCAGCATAGAGAGTGTCCCTACAGTGGAAGGAGTTAAGCATGGCAGGTTACTTTGCCTTATTTCAATGGTCAGCATAGAATAAAGAGAACCTGGCCCCCAGCCCGATTCTGCACAAGTCCTCCCAGTGGCTCTATGCTGATCCTGACGACCCTGACCCCTGGGTACATGCCTACAACCCCTCTACAGTTGCTCCTCTCCAGATGTTTATCTTCTTCCTTCTCTTGTCTTTCTCAGAGCTCTGAGGCCTGGCCAAGCTGAACAGCTTGCTCTCTCTTCTCACATCAAATACCTTATTGACATCACACAGCTCAGTTTGGAAGGAATGTTCTTGTTCCATTCAAAATGACCTTCCCCTGGTCCATCACGTCCTTTGTAAAGCCGAATCCTTACCTTGGCCCAGCAGGCCCCTGTCCGTTCGCCAAGCTCTCCTTGGCTCTCCCCAACATCCTGCTTTCAGGGAGGTGGCCAAGGCTTTCTCCCATCTCAGGGATCTTGTACTGGTTGTAGCTTTTACGAGAAGCCCCCCGCCCCCACCTCACCCCCACTGCCGATTTGGCTAACACCTACTTATCCTGTAGGCAGAAATGTCCCTAGTCCCTGCAGTCAGGGTCCCTGCCACGGGTCCCCCACCTTAGAAGGCCCACACTGGCCCGTCCAGCTGTGCCCTTCTCCATAGAATGAGAAACCTGTGGGTGGAGGGAACATGTCTGCCCACTGGCTGTGCACCGGCTATTAGATTATTCGCCCCTGTCGATCCAGGTCTCCTGAATCCCCCGTCCAAACAGCCCAAGCCCACTTCTGGGCCGGTAAGGGCCTTTTACCTGGGTCGGTCCTCCTGAGGGTGGATCATAACTCTGGGCCTGAAGGCTGTCCGAGGGGTAGGGTGTGCGTGTGTGTGTGTGTGTGTGTGTGCGTGTGTGTGTGTGTGCGCGCGTGTACAGAGTTTGAAAGTGAGGCCTGAGGTATCCACACATAGGCACAGGTGCCAGGATAGAAAGAGAATGTGGCCAGGCCCCAGCTGGGGGCTTCCTTTAGACTTTGTCCTTTGTGCTTCATCCTGGGTGTCCAGTTAAAGTCAAGGGCAGGGCTGTCTTTAGGAACGTGATGAAAGCATCACGTTCCTGAGGCCGTCTGCTCTGACTTCCGGCCTGGGCTAGGTCCACGGGCTATGCATTATGTGGTGCCCCATGTTTCCTTGACCCCCAACTCCCTGCACAGTCAGCTCTGTGCTCCCCAAAAGGCAGACATCAGGTCTGCCGTGCCCACTCTGTAGCTGTTTAATGAGTCGACGAATAAGTGGATGTGACCTCTTCTAAAAAGGCTTTACTGACAACCTAGCACTTCACATTCAACTTCCTGTTTGTCTCTGGCTTAATACTGGACCTTGAATCCAAAGTTACGTCTGTACTTGGTCTCTCACCACTGCATGGATTTGCATCTGGTTTATTTTTGTTATATTTGTGTGCCTGACTCTTTCACATGGGCCTGTTCTGTGTCCCTTACCAGACCTTAAGTCCTCAAAGACAGAGACCATCTTTCCCACATGTCCAGTGTGGGGATCCCTGGTGCCTCTGACCGATAGGCAGGCCACCCGGAGTCCCAGGAGGCTGTGGGCAGAGAGGATTCTCAGCCTCCAAATGGTCACAGATTATATTTGGGAAAAGGCCCGAACACTTCCTACTGCTGTTCCCAGGTCCAGAAATAAGAGACAAATGACTTTCTGCCAAAACGTTTTTTTTTAATACACAAAGCAGAAGTTTTCATAGAAAGATGATCTTTTGTAATGGGTATCTGGTTACCTTAAATGCAAAGGCTGGGCTCAAATGGTAGAATCTACAGAAGACACGAAAGTCTAGACAAAGTTACTCTCAAGTGGCTTATGTGCATTGCACACACACACACCGGCCTTCCATTGAGCTTTGCTGAAACAACCCTTGAACTAGAGCATGTGGCCATGCACATACATGCCATACATTGACAGACACTGGCCTCCCGGCCCCTGCCTTCCCCGGCCTCACACATACACACATTCGCCTAGGCAGCCCTCTTCCTAATGTGGAGTACC